TATTAATAAATGAAAGATATCGTAACAGCGGCACAATCGCGAAAACATACCCAGGAGCTGACGTTTCATCAGACCGTATACCTATACTCTCCTCTGTGCTAGATTTTAAGCTCAGATTTGAGAGAGTAAAAAAGACGATAAACAACAAAAAGTAGAATATAAATAAACTTAAAGAAGAAGAAATACGCAAGAAAATAACCGTAAAATAGCCCAAGAATGTCAAGAAGTCAGAAATTCTGAATTAAACGTATAGTCGTCTTTATCAAAAATGTTTAATGGCCGTTTGCACCGACCATTTTGCGAGAGGTTTAACGATAATCAACGCTGCCTATAGGTAAAAATGTCACTTTAAGCGTTGATTATCGTTGAATCTCCCTCAAAATGGTCGGTGCAAACGGCCATAAGAGTTTTCAAAATATCGGCAATGAGATTTTTGATTATTACACAGAAGATTGAAAAGCAATCCTCTGGATGACATCAGACAAGATTTTAAAATTGATGGACGAAAGGGGGTCATTGAAGAACAACAAAAATGAGTACCTATCGGAAAATGCACAAGAAATTTAAACAAAAAATAAGAAGTGCGAAAGAAAAATGGATTAGGATTGCCAATCAGTACGCAGAAATTGAAGAGCTGGAGAAAAATACGACGCTTTCAATAGGCATAAGAAGATAATAAGAGAGATGTCAGGCTTAAATAAAACAAATACGAGTGAAAAAATACAGGATAAAAATGGTAATAATATTTTGGATCGTAATGGAAAAATAATTCAAGATGTCGATGCGGCACGAATGTAAAGAAACCATTGAGGTTACATTGTCTCCATATAAATGTGTTTTATTTCTACCTATTTTACAGTTTAATTTGATGAATTTTAATTTATTTCAATTTTCTTTAATGTTCGTAGTTAAAACCGAGTTACTTGGAATATTTATCTACCAATAAGATACCTGGGCATCAGGTACAAAACGGACCTCAAGTAGGTAAAAAGGCGTAAAGTCCATTCCAAAATAATTCGTTGACTCTTCAAGTATCAATAAAATGTTGATGATACCCTCAACCACAAACTTCGACTACCTGTGAGCAGGTCCGGGTTGATTTTATTTATTATACCTGCCTAGGTGAGATGTACATGTAAATGTGGGTGAATGTTTTAGTTAAATTATTTAGTCTTTATGCAGAACTAGAGCTGTTATATTGACAAAAAAAATGTGGCGTCCATGGGCAAATGATGGTAGTATTGCAACCGGAAGTGGTATTTCAAAAAAAAAACATTTATCGCTAGATGCCAAGGAAATTGTGAGGAACGTTTATTTAACCCTTCTGCAGAGAGGCTATAATCATAATCAAAGTGTGAGTGAATCATCCGTTTTAACCAAAACTCCATTATCTACGGTTAAAGATATCGTAGCCAAACGCATCCAGCCAAGGAAGCAACGGTGTGACAGCGGCAAGTCAAGAAAGGTTGAAGAAGCGGATAAAGAGTTCATTCGTAGGAAAATTTATGATTTGTACAGTAAACAAATAATACCTACAATAGATTCTCTAAAAAAGGTACTTATAGAAGACGAAACTGATATATTATGTAGCAGAACAAGCCTTTGGAGAATTGTGAAAGCAATGGGTTTCAAATATCAAACCATTAATAAGAGGCAAGTGCTAATGGAATCCCAGCGATTACAAGCATGGCGTCGAGAATATTTAAGTTCCATAAAACAATATAGGGTAGAAAATCGTCCGATAATATATCTTGACGAAACATGGTTTGATACCCATGACACTCCCAAAAGAGGATGGAGCGACTCAACCTTCAAATGTCAAACCAAAGCACCCTCAAATAAAGGCCAGAGGATTACAATTTTGCATGCCGGATCAGAAAATGGTTTTGTTCCAAACTCTTTGCAGCTATCCGCAAAAAAAATAGCCAATTCATCATTAGATTATCATCAAGATACCGATGCAAAATTATTTGAAGAATGGTTTCAGAATCGCCTTCTTCCGAACATACCAGAAAACAGTATAATTGTGATGGACAACGCTAGTTACCACAGCCGTCAAAAAAATAAAGTGCCCAATGCAAGTAATACAAAAGTAGAACTTCAAAAATATATGATGGAAAATGATATGTATTTCGAAGAAAATTATACAAAGAAAGATCTTTTAAACGTTTTGAAATCATATAATGTTAAAAAAGAATATATTTGTGACGATCTTGCTACCGCTTGTGGTCATACAGTTTTGCGTCTTCCTCCATATTATTGTATTTTCAATCCAATAGAACATATCTGGCATGAATTGAAGGCAATGGTTAGGAGAGGAAACACCTCTCCTACACTTAGTACTGCTGTAATAGATTTAATTAGAAAATGTGTAGATAATATTCCAGTTCAAAGCTGGAAAAATTCTGTCAATCACGTTATAAAAGTTGAAGAAACCTATAATTCAATAGGTATTAATGTTAAGCCATTAATAATTAGTTTAGGCATAGATGAAGATGACAGTGACAGTGAAACGGAACTAAATATAGATTAGGTTTGGTTGAATTGTGTATTGTATTATATTGTATTAGATATTAAGTTTTGGTAATTATTAAGATAGTATAAGATTATAACATAAATAAATAATATTATGAAACGCCTTTTTCGTTTTCATTATAATGGGCACAAAATCCGTACCTGTAAACCTTTGAGTGGGTATTAAGGAACCCGGTACCTACATAAAAGAACCTGGTACCTACACAATAGAGGCTAATAGCTATCTAATTTATGGTAGGGTTTTATAGCCGTGAAGTCAACGAAATATTTTGGAATGGACTTTACAAAGGTGCTACAAATACTGTAATGGCAAAAACTCACTAAACACTGAAGTTCACTTTAAACAAATATAAAGTGTGACAGAGTCAAGTTTGTTATGCCGCGGCGCCATCTTGTACGTCAAACATCAAATCGCCCTACCTATATACATAATTATAACACGTGAAGAACAAATAAGTCCCACTGAATTTGGGTTTTGAAATACCTTTATTAGGGACTCGAGAAGTACTATTCAGTCTACAAGTTTTATTTTAACGTGCTCGAGACGTTAATCACGATGTTTTCGATTCGAGTCTTTCATCGTCTACCTTGAGTCCTTGAGGGAAGGTATTCGATAAAGTTCAGCAAAACAAAATGATGGAAGTGTAAGGGCGGCTTCTCATGAGCGTAATTTGACATTTATGGCGTGACAGCGTACCTGAATGCAGAATTCCAATTGGCCAAAGTGCCGCCATATTGGATACGCTGACGCTCTGCCGCAGATACGCCAAAAGTTGAGCAAAGTTCAACTTTTCGCGTAGAAATTCAGCGTTTTTAGAGGTTAGGGTTGCCATCGTTTCGTTTTCTGGATTTTTGTAATTTACTGTCCATATTTGTAACTATTTAGAAATAGAGCAAAAACAAATACAAAGTACAATCAAAATTCAAAGAAATATTTCAAAATTTAGAAAAAAGAAAATATAATTTTGACATACGCGGCGGCGTAAATTCTCCACTCCATGTGAATGTTGCGCCAAAATTCACGTAATCAGCATTTGCGCCAGTTATGTCAAGTTTACGCTCATGAGAAGCCGGCCTTAGTTGGGTTGAAACTTACAAATCATCGCCAATTTTATCTTTATATTGGAATCAAAACTTCTTTTCACGTGGCTCCGGTTTAACTAACCGTGTTACAAAACGGTTAGAGAAATGACATACCGTTTTCTTATCCGGTTACAAAATGACGTGATGGATACCTACCACTCGAATTTGAGCGGTATGTTGCTATTTGTTAAACCGGAGCCACGTGAAAAGGGTTATTCCTTAGCTTTAGCCTGAGGATATATGTACTTGAATTGTCGAAGCGGCCCCTGAAAGGGGAGTTCAGCAGGGAAGTTCTTGAAATAAGTCGCGATGGTCTTATTGTCAACGGCGAATGTATTAGCAATATAAGATTCGCAGTCGACACCGTATGTGGAATGATATTAGATGGGCTTCAATTAAAGACTAATGGACAAAATAGTGCAGAATACAAAATTTATTACATACACCTGGCCGGTCGATTGATGGTCCACAGCGAACCCATTCAAAGACTCAACAAGTTATACTTATTTGTAGGAACTAACATCAAATGGAGAATGGGATCACTCGATTGAAATAGGGTACGGAATCATAAAAGCCCGAACCAGTGTTGCCACAAGCTCTGAAAATTTCGTGAAAGATTATATTTTTAAATGGGGCCAGACTTATGAATTTCGGGAAAACTCATTTTAAACAAAAAAGAAGAGAGAAAGCTCGCCGCAGGCGCTGGCGGAGGCAGAAATTTTTTTCGGATGCCACGCCCAAAAACGTTTATTTTGCATGAAAAAACTATGATTTCGCTTGTTATGGAGAAACGGGCCAAATTCGGAAAAGAGTGGCTAACGGGCCACTTCGTCTTAAAAAGGGCCAGATCTGGCCATATGGGGCCACCTGTGGCAACACTAGCCCGAAATGCATTCAAATGGCAAAATTATTCAAAAGCAGTGGTTGCGCGCTCATCGTCTTCCGGCGTATCCTGAAAATCTCATGGATTGATCGGAAATCGAAGAATGCAGAAAGGGAAGGAGATTTGTATTTCATGTGAAAAATCGTAAACTTGAATATCTTGGTCCATTTTATGAGAAATCCTGAGAGGTAGGTACCTACACCTATCGACTTTTACAATTCATACTCCAAGTTAAAATACAAGGCAGAAGGAGTATTGGACGACGAAGAATATCATCGTGAAAAAATTTGCAAGGTTGGTTCAACTCAACAACCGTATAAGGTTTTATTTCGGGCGGAAGTCGATAAAGTACGTATTGCCATCATGTTAGCAAACCCATCATCGGCAACGGATAGGCACCAAAAGAATAAAGTACAATTTCTTCCAAAAATTCAAAATCTTTCATCGCGTTCCAAGGTTTTTTAAAATTCTTGAGTATTGGAAATGAGAATAATTTGCTCGATGCACAGTAAAGAGTAAAATTTATTTGCAATAATGTGTAAGTAAAAAGAAATAAAATACATAGGTACCTATGTTAATTGTACTATTTGCTTATTCGGAGGTTTGGCAGCTTAAAATTTATTTATTTAGGTACATGTACTACAAACAATTCCATTTGGTATCTCTTTATTCTGGTTGAAACTTTCTCAAACTCTCGTCCATAGCGAAATCAACAAATTTATCAATAGGTTTTATTATAAAAGGTATCGCAGTCAATCCTATGGTAGTCACAAGCCATTTTCTATAGTTTTTCGGTAGAATTTCGCTCTTTTTTATAGCATAATTCGAAAGGGCGCAGATGCGGTTGACTGTGAAGCCTGGTATTGCAACCGAGGCTAGTAGTTGCCAAATAAGGGTGTCCGCCGTGGTGTAGGCTACTTTTCTTTTGTGGTTTGGCTCGTTAATATTTGCCTAAAAAATATTGAACTAAAATTTGAAATTAAACTTTTTGTTTCTTTATTCAAATAATATACAGGGTGTTTCACGGAGGTTTTACCCGCAGGTGAACTTTGGAACGCGTCATTCGAATGTTCCACTTTGTAATTTTATATAATTTTCTCTAACAAAGCCTTAATAAATAGGACATTGCCGGTTTTGTAATTTAATTTTCTAACGAAAAATGCCATAATTGTACCATCCATATAGGTATAGGTAAGTTACATTCAAGATTCTAAGTTGCCGTCACTTGACCGAAACTGAGGCGAAAGTAGTGAAATTGGATGACACTCGTGTATAGAAAGCGGCACAAAAAGTTACCCAGATCCTCAAAGTTTCAATTAAACTGGATGACGCGTTCCGGAAGTTATCAACTGGGCAAAACGTCGTGGGACACACCCTGTATATCTAGAATAGGTATTGCCGATATTGATGATGTAATTATTAGTATTAATAAATTAAAGTGTAGGTTCTTCTTTTTGAATTTAATCAATTGCAGACGATTTTTAATTTATTACCTATTAACCTTGCGTTCGGTATTTTGCTCAAAGAGCAGAGCGTGCTGAGCGGAGCCGTAATCACGTGACCAGTGAGCGTACAGAGCAGTTGAGCGCTGTATAAAAGTGCCAGAAATTTTAATAAACGAACGCGAATGAGGATGCACCGAGTACACTTTTTAAATAAACGAACGGTAAAGTAAAGCTCGGAGAACTCGGACCAAAATAACGAACGCAGGGAATATAACAATTTTCAATAAATTTAAACAATCATATTTGTCAAAATCACTTGAAGTAGGTGCCTGTGAAGCAATTATTTAAAGACCCCCGTATATACGCATTTTCGATTATAATGTATGGTTGGTTGTCTAACCACGGAGCCACGAGATCGGGAATTATTACAAAAATTAAATCGATAGGTAATGGACAATGGACAAAACCAAATTATGCCGTTTTATTTTTGAACTGTAATCTGTATTTGGTTTACCTTGTAGGATTCCATACTTTTATCACCAGTATCAGCTAATACATACAATGTAGCAATTCCATAGCTTAAATTAACCAATTTGGTTCCTATAATCGACCTAAAAGCTTCACCCACTTCGTTGGCATAGCCTGCAATAATTTCGTTTTAAATTCATGCAAAAGATAATTTTCAAATTTTCAGCTAATATTTTACCCAAATATCTTACTGGAGTATCCCTGTATAAATCTATCTTTTTATTTTCAATGTTTTGGGACATCTTAGTAGGTATCTGAAATTTAGGCACCAAAAACAAATCAATGTGGACGGATCACTGATCACAAGACCAAGGTTTTTTGAAATGCCGCTGTTAAAATAACTAGTAGTTGCGTATTTGAAGTTATTCAAGCTGATAAATTTGTATACAATTATTTGATATATAAATACTGATGTTCATAAAAATATTTGAATAAATATGAAAAAAATCTTTGCGCGGTAGCTCAAGATGAAATAAAAGCAACCTATATACATCGGCCTGTTGGTCTAGGGGTATGATTCTCGCTTCGGGTGCGAGAGGTCCCGGGTTCAAATCCCGGACAGGCCCGACTTTACTTTTTTTATGTATTTTTTTCATTTAATTTCAAAATAAAATTTTCCATTTATATTACTTATTTTTGACTTGAATCAATAGATTTTTTGATTTCTCTCTCAGGAATAATAGTTATTTATACACCAAGTGAGTTAAATGAATGGTTTTTCATGAGAAGAAAGATTAATAACCCACGAGCCCTAGCGAGTGGCTTAATTTTCTTCGAATGAATAAGCATTTTAACTCACGTGATGTATAGAAAATTTAATCCCATTTTGTGGAAATTTAAAAAATAAAGTACAAGGAAAAATTTTGAGAGTGAGTTAAAAATATTTTAAATCACGATGTAAATCACTGAGGTTTCAGATTTTTAGTTGGGCAGAGTGACTTAAAATGCCGAGAGTGAGTTAAAATGTTTTTAAATCACTGAGGTGATAAACGTCTACTTACCTTTATTGTTATGCGTTCAATAATGTCATTTTTAAACGTCAAAATGGGATAAAATTTATTATATCTATCTTATAACTATCTTTTTATTGAAATACTCATAGAGGGTTAAATAAAATGTGTATCAGAAAAATAAAATAAATACTCAATATTTCTGTTTAAATTTTTATTATTACATAATTAAAACCTTCCACTTCGTTTCCTTCCGGTAAACTTTGAATGGTGTGGCACTTCTTTCCCTTGCTTTCTCCTCCTTTCTTTTTTATCTAAAATCCACTGTTTGCTATTTTTCATTGGCTTCCCCCTTTGATTTTTTACTCTTTCTCTTCTAGCATAATCGATACCTAGAAATAAAAAAAAACATAATTTTATTATGCATAAAACAATCTAAGTGTATATTTTGATAAATAATTTCGAAGAAATTAAAGAAAAAAAAAAAAGTTTGTCAGGTGTGGGGTTCGAACCCACGCTCCCTTTCGAGAACCAGAGCTTAAATCTGGCGCCTTAGACCGCTCGGCCAACCTGACTCATGTTAAATAAAAGCGCGTTGCCATACATAGCGTTAGTGAGTTACAAGGTTGATTGAGAGAGGTAGGTTGCCTGATAACTTGATGACTGATGACGTCATCTGGAGTGCCTCAACATAAGCTGAGTTCGGCTTGGCAAAACGGAGTCGGAGCGGATACAGAGAGGTTTCATAGTCACGTGATCACAGAGTGAAAGGAGTAAAATGGTTAAGTCGAACGCATCAGGAGCAAGGCGAGCCGCGAATGCCGCGGGCGCTTGCGCAAAGATAATTTCTGACGTTTATTTAATTCTAATCTATAAGCAAAATGAATAAAATTAATTGTAATTTTTTCTTCATCGTTTTGTGTTCCTGGTTTTTGTCTAAAATCCAAATGAATAAAAATTAAAAATATAATTCTTTAGGTTAGGAGAGTGAATTGTTGACATTTTTGACGATTAAATTCACCGCCTTTTGGAAATATAGAAAGTGCGCATGCCCGCTCCTGGAACATCATCTCACGAGGTGGGGCTTGTGGAGTTAACTCTTTTCACGCTACTCGGCTGTACCCGAACGATGAGGTGCTTACACTATTTGCTCCCAGTGGCCTGACCCGAACGATTTTAGAGTGAAAAGCGTCAAAGGAGTCAAAAGAGTTGCCAAGCCGAACTCACCTATAATAATAATATCCTATCCTTTAATTTTTTATAATGTAGTAAAGGACGAAAATAGTTTCTAGCTAGTGAAATGTGTAGTGATTTACTAATGAGAAAGGACATCGCACACATCATTATGGGTTTTCGGGGACCGGTCGATTTTTTAAAAAATTTGGTATGTTGTAGTACTAGTGAAAATAAGTATTTTTCATCATTGCGCAAAATCTCTAACTATACAGGGTGGCCCAGTAAAGTGGGTCCGAAAATCATTGCCAAGCCTTTCATTTATTGATGTTGGCACGCATTGCAAGCTACATATCGGGTTTTTTTTTTATATTTCGCAAATAAATAGTCTAGATAAGCCTAATATATTATACAGGGTGGCTAACCTTACGTATTCTTTTAGAAATACTGCACTATTCTTAGTAATAGTGTTACGAAAAAGGTCGTACTGGAATTAATTTGCCCGTAACTTTTCCAATTTTTGTCTGATTTTAGAAAATCTGGTCTTAAAATAAAGCTTACATCACAGAAGGATGTCATGAAATCTGAAAAAATGACAAATCTCAGAATTCGTGTGAAATATATCGCCTTTTTTTGGCCAGACATCGTCAATAATTTACATCTGAGGAAGCAAATAATACTCGTAAGATTACAAAGACATGTTGAATGGACATTTGAAATCTGTGTTTAACATATAGAATGTTGTGACTAGTGCAAAATATTGCCCTACATGAAAGGATTCAAAGAGAAAACCTCCTTCTTGGGGGTGGTGGGGTGGGCCTTAAATCGATTTACATGAAAATTATATTAATTTTTCTATTCTCACTGTTGGAGTATTCATGAACTAAAACTTTCCGAATATATCTAAATATTTTCGGGGTTCACACAAGATACAAGCAGAGATTTTCTGTTTGTATCATTTTTGTTTTCCCCTGGGCTGGATGGAGGGAATCCAGTATTCGGCACATACTGCACATGCAAAGTTATCGCGTTGTTAGGTACTTTAGCTACGCTCGACATGAGAACAATGTGAAGGATCCATCAAATACGTTACTTATATTAGGGCCGGTTTATCAATAGCGAGTCATTTCCGGGTTGATTATAACTCCAGGGTAAACGTTTCTCCACAGCGAGTTAGCTATAACTTTTGGTGTAACCTTGGGTTAAATTGGCTCACTGTTGATGATATTGCGGGTTTAGCGATTTATGGATTTATGGATTTACCCTTTGAGATAACCTGATGATTCGTGATCGTCATCGTGATTTGTCAATTTTGTGGTATTAATTTTTTTTTTCAAAATAGAAATATATGGATTGATGGATGAAGATGAAGATTTCTACAATTTCGTAGGAAAAACGCCTCATATAATCCGCCAAAGGATTAATCCCCTCGAGAAATACGATGACTAGGATTTCTCTACAAAGGATTAAAAGTTCATGTCTGACCTCGTGCACCCTATATTTCGCTTATATTATAGCTTGATTATTATTATTTTTTCTAATTCAAGGAAGTTTTTTCCTCTTGCGATATCTTTCTTCTCCATGACTATTGACTACACACACTGCATTAACCACGCCCTAATAACACAGTAACATCGCAGAAACATTCCAGAAACATCCATCAGGGATAATGAAGACGTCCCTGGGAGGTCCCTATTTTCCTGGGGACATCCCTGGGATGTTGCAGGCAACAGCCGTGTCATCATTTGCGATGTCCTATAAACATCTCTCAGGGATGTTTCTAAGATGACGCGGGATGTACCTAATACATCCGGGGCAGGTGTAAGAAACATCCTCTATATGTTTCTAGTATGACTTTAATAGGTGAATGAATTTTAGGATTATGGATTAAAAATTACCTAATTCAATAATTTTCAATTTTCGTTCTATTTTCTGGAAGTCAGATAGAACTTTTTCCAAAAAAAAAACAAAAATTGAAAATTATAAAATTAAGTAGGCACATCAGTTTCCAATAACATTTTTTATTGAAAAAATAAGGTACATGCATACTTATATTGATTATCTATCAACTAATAATAACCGACGGACAATTTTGCCTAAATAATGTAGTACCTATTTATGCCCCGTCATGTCATCGAAAACCATAGTTTGGCAGTGGCAGCATGTTGTAGTGGGGGAGTTCGGCGTTTTCTTTTTTTTTTTGGTGCTCCAATTTCATAAAGGTACCATTAACTAACCAAAACAACCACAGAACCAAAATCCAAAGTTCTTGAAGTACAATTCAACTTGCACACCTAGAATGTAATCAACTATGAAAACAAAAAATAATTATTGGTTATTTTCTCTTACCTAATGAAGAATGAAGTTCGGGTTTCTAGGGGCTATTTATCAGAAAAGTTAGAAATTTCCTAACCGACGCCATATTGAAATTAAATAAACTAAACAATTGATAGTTATGCGACGTTATCTTTCAACAAATAATCTTTCTCACCAACTAATAAGCACTGGTAGGTCGCAGAGATCCTTTCGAACACAAAATGGCACAACTAGGTGTAGCGAAAAACCACAAATTGACAAATCCTCCACACAGCACGACGCCATTACGAAATAAAATTCCGCCCAACAACACAAGCGAAGCGCACAGGACGACCCGTTCGACTGATTCTGCCCGTCTGCGCTGGCTGCGGCGCCGACCCGCCCGACCCTACGTGGTGGCGTGCCCTCCTGTCCTGACCGGTACAAGTACAAATGCCTGAGCACGCGCCTGCGCCATACACTTCGGCTTCACGAATATTCACGATGTTTGAAAGTTGAAAACAGAGAAGACTTTTATCAATACATATTTTATTTTATTCCAAGTTGTAAGTCGAATGAAAAATTAAATTTTGCTGTTGTTACAATACAAAATTAATATTAAGTACCTTATCTATATACATTACAGGTATATTATGGAATTTGAAATTAGTTTGTGTGTGTGATAGAGACATTTTCAGAAATCACACAAAATTGGCAAATTTAATACTGGGTCCTGCCGGTCTGAGGTCCTACCTAGTTTTGTAAAATAATGTTAGCCATTTTTCAGCTGTAATAAGTATCTAATTTTGAGAACGAAAAATCTTTTTGTCGATAGATATTTTCGAAAGGATGTTTCTAAAACATTTCAGGACAATCATCCTAGAGATGTTACATTACAAACATCGCAGCGATGTACCATTTATGTCGGAAACATAAGGACCTTAATGGTACGTAAATAGGATGTTTCTGGGAGATCGGTGTTATTAGGGCGCTCTTCAAAAATTAACAAATTGTAATGAAAAAACGGTGCGCCAAAAAGAATACTCGAACTTATCATTAATTTAACAACAAACTCCAAAAAGTTTTGTGAATGGGCTAATTTGACGATCGACCCATGAGTGACTGCTTTCGACCAATCAAAAATATGTTAGGATCACCATTCGGCATTCTGGTAAACAATAATGCTACCAACTATTGCTTAACCCAGTGTTTATTAACTCCACCTACAGTGGATGCTTGAGAAACACAATCCTCAGTTAACCTGCAAGGTTGAAATTAACTCCGGGTTAGTTAACCCCTAGAGTTACTCGCAATTGAGGAACCGCCCCTAAATTTAGGTGTATTTGGTGTATCCAAGACCCTAATCGAATGAAAAGTTATACTTTTATCACGTTCAACCATCTCGAATTTTATCACATTTTTTTAAATCGGACAAAAATTAAAAAAGTTACAGCTAAATAAAATCCAGCGCAACCTTTTTGGTAACACTATTTCTAAAAATAGGGCAGGATTTCTAAAAAAATACGCAAGCTCAGCTACCCTGTATAGTATTGTCGCGGCTTTGGGTTGCCTGCTGACAAAAATCTTGGGTTCGTTGTTCGTTTCGTTTATTCCAAAAATCAAAGTCCAATTAACACAGCAATAATTTATTCCACTTAACAAAACACTCTGACACTAATTACTTTATTAACAAACTCAACAATTCAACTCTTTACAATCACTATTTAAATCGTATCACACTCGAACTGAAACTAAACTACAAACCAATGCCGGCCTTCTTATATATCCCTAAATCTATTCCTGTAAAATCTAGAATACACGATAATATTATTTTCCCGAATTAAGTAGAATAATTCACTAGATTCTAGTATACTCAAGAGATAATACCGAGAGATTCTTGACAGCCTGGCGGACGTTTAGCTTA